GGAAGAAGGCATTCAAGTTCAAAAAGCACAGAGAGCCCCAAATAAGAAGAACCCAAACAGGCCAACACCAAGACATATAGTAATCAAAATGCCAAAAATTAAAGACAAAGAGAGAATCCTAAAAGCAGTAAGAGATAAGCAACAGGTTACCTACAAAGGACACCCCATAAGGCTCCCAGCTGACTTCTCACAAGAAACACTACAGGCCAGAAGGGAATGGCATGAAGTAATCAAGGTCATGATAAACAAGGATCTGAATCCAAGACTACAATACCCAGCAAGGCTATCATTCAAAATAGAAGGTCATCTAAAGAGCTTCTCAGACAAAAAGAGGCTAGCTAAGGGAATACATTAGCACCAAACCAGCACTGCAAGAAATGTTAAAAAGACTGCTGTAATTAGTAGGAGAAATAGGAAGAAAAATAGAACCACACTAAACAAAAATGGCAATAAATAAGTACATATCAATAATCACCTTAAATGTAAATGGACTGAATGCTCCGATAAAAAGACACAGAGTAGCTGATTGGATAAGAAAGCATGACTCAACTATATGTGGTTTACAAGAGAGCCACCTCACAACAAAAAACTCACATAGGTTGAAAGTAAAGGGATGGAAAAAAATCTTCCATGAAAACAGAAAAAAAAAACAAAAAACAAAAAACACTGCGGTAGAAATACTCATGTCTGATAAAATAGATTTCAGAATGAAGGCCATAACTAGAGACAAAGAAAGCCACTACATAATATTAAGGGGATCTATCCTACAGGAAGATATAACCTTGGTAAACATATATGTAACCAATATAGAAGCACCAAAATATATTAAAAATGTTCTGGAAGACTTTAACAGAGAAATCAATAGCAATGCAATAATAGCAGGAGACTTCAACATCCCGCTGACATCACTGGATAGATCCTCTAGACAAGAAATTAGCAAGGAAACAGAGACTCTAAATGAAGCACTAGAAAAAATGGATTTAATAGACATCTACAGAGAATTACACCCCAAAACAACAGAATTCACATTCTTCTCAAGTGCACATGGGGCATTCTTAAAGATAAATGACATGTTAGGACACAAACTGAGTCTCTACAAGTTCAAGAAGATTGTAATCATATCAAGAATCTTCTTAGATCACAAAGGCATGAAACTAGAAATCAATTGCAACAAGAACATACAAAGACATTTGAACACATGAAGGCTAAATAGCATGTTACAAAAGAACAAATGGGTTAGCGAGAGGATCAAGGAATAAATTTAAAAAATTCAGGAAAACAAGAAAATGAACCCATAACAACACAAAATCTATGGGATGCAGCAAAGCAGTTCTGAGAGGGAAGTTCATAGCACTACAGGCCTACCTCAAGAAGCAAGAAAATTTTCTAATAGCCTATTTAACCTCACAACTTAAAGAACTAGAATGAAAACAATAGGAAAACCCCAGAAGAAGTAGAAGGCAGGAAATAGTAAAGATCAGAGCAGAAATAAAAGACATAGAGTTTCCCCCCCAAAAAAACAATACAAAGGATCAATTAAACAAAGAGCTGGTTTTTTGAAAAGATAAACAAGATTGATGGACCCTTAGCTAGACACAGCAAAAAACAAAGAGAGAGAACACAAATACACAAAATCAGAAATGAAAGAGGAGAAATAACAACTGACACCACAGAAATACAAAAGATCACTAACAACTACTATGAACAATTATATGGCAACAAATTCGACAATCTAAGCAAAATAGACAAATTTCTAGAAACACATAGTCTGCCAAAACTGAACCGGGAAGAGATAAAAACTTGAAGAGACTAATAACAACTAAGGAAATTGAAGAGGTAATCAAGACTCTCCCAGCAAATAAAAGCCCAGGCCCAGATGGCTTCATGGAGGAGTTTTACAGAACATTCAAAAAATAACCAACACCCATTTTCCTCAAACTATTTCAAGAAGAAGGTAGACTTCCAAACTTGTTTTATGAGGCCAGCATAATTCTAATTCCAAAACCAGAAAAAGACACTACAAAGAAAGAACACTACAGACCAATATCCCTGATGAACACAGATGCCAAAATCCTGAACAAAATACTAGCAAATCAAATCCAGCAGTATATCAAAAAAATTGTTCACCATGACCAAGTGGGTTTCATCCCAGGTAAGCAATGCTGGTACAATATTCGCAAATCAATAAATGTGATATCCCACATAAATAAAATGCAAAACAAAAAACCCATGATAAAAACAAAACAAAACAAACAAACAAAAAAAAAAAACCCATGTTGAAGGCCAAAAAAGCCTTCAACAAAATCCAGCATTCATTTCTGATAAAAACTTTCAGCAATGTGGGAATAGAGGGATCATATCTCGACAAAATAAAAGTCATATATGAAAGACCTACAGCCAACATCATACTCAATGGGAAAAAATTAGAAGCATTTCCCTTAAACAAGAACAAGACAAGGATGCCCACTTTCACTACTCTTATTTAACATAGTATTGGAAGATTAGCCACAGCATTCAGACAGCAAGAAAAAATAAAAGGGATCCAAATGGGAAAGGAGGAAGTGAAATTGTCATTATTCGCAGATGACATGATATTCTATGTACAGAACCCCAGACTCCATCAAAAATTTCCTAGATTTAATAAAGGAATCTGGCAAAGTAGTAGGATACAAAATTAACGTCAAGAAATCGATGTCATTCTTATACATAAATGATGAACTCACAGAAAGAGAAACTAAAAAAAACAATCCCATTTACCATTGCAGCAACAAAATTAAGATATCTAGAAATAAACTTAACCAAAGAAATAAAGGACCTTTTTGCAGAAAACAACAGGGCATTGAAAAAAGAAATAGAGGAAGATATAAAAATAGTGGAGGCACATACCTTGCTCATTGACTGGAAATATTAACATCATTAAAATATCCATACTACCCAAAGCAATCTATAGATTCAATGCTATCCCCATCAAAATACCAATGACATACTTCACAGAACTAGAACAAATACTTCAAAAGTTCATATGGAACCAAAAAAAAAAAAAAAAGACCTCAAATAGCCACAGCAATCTTGAAAAAGAAGAACAAAGTTGGAGGGATCACATTACCAGATGTCAGGTTATACTACAAAGCCACTGTAATCAAAACAGTCTGGTACTGGCACAAGAACAGGCATATAGACCAGTGGAACAGAATAGAGAACCCAGAAAGGGACCCAAGGCGATATGCTCAATTAATATTTGACAAAGGTGGCAAGAACATACCGTGGAATAAGGACAGCCTCTTTAATAAATGGTGTTAAGAAAATTGAACAGCTACATGCAAAAAAATGAAACTAGACCATCAACTTACACCATGCACAAGAATAAACTGAAAATAGATAATAGACTTAAATGTGACCCATGAATCCATAAAAATCCTCGAAGAAACTGTAGGCAACAAACTTTCAGACATCATACACAGCAGAATTTTCATGGATACATCACCTAAGGCAACAGAATCAAAGGAGAAAATGTACACATGGGAGTACATCAAACTCAAAATCTTCTGCACAGCAAAAGATACAATCATCCAAATGGAAAGGCAACCCACTGTATGGGAGAGCATAATTGCTAATGATATATCAGATAAGGGGTTAATTTCCAATATATATATATAGAGTGCTCATACAACTGAAGAAAAGGAAAACAAAGAACCCCATAAAAAACGGGCAGAGGAACTAAATAGACACCTCTCCAATCAGGACACACAAATGGCTAAGGAATATATGAAGAAATGCTCAACCTCACTAATCATCAGAGAGATGCAAATTAAACAACAATGAGGTATCACATCATGTCTCTCAGAATCGCCACTATCAACAAATCATCAAACAACAAATGTTGGCCAGGGTGTAGAGAAAATGGGACTCTAGTGCACTGCTGTTGGGAATGCAGACTGGTGCAGCCACTATGGATAACAATATGGTGTTACCTCAAAAAAAGAAGTATTGAACTTCCATTTGACCAAGTGATCCCACTTCTAGGAATATACCCTAAGAAACCTGAAACACCAATCAGAAAGAATATATGTACCCCCATGTTCATAGCAGCACTATTTACAATAGCTAAAAGCTGGAAACAGTCAAAATGTCCTTCAGTAGACGAATAAATAAAAGAGTTGTGGTACATGTACACAATGGAATACTATGTAGTTGTAAGAAGTAAAGATCTCATCCTTTGAGATGACTTGGAAGGACTTGGAAAGTATTATCCTAAGTGAAACAAGCCAAGCAGAGAAAGACAAGTATGTGATCTCACTTATTTGTGTAATATAGTGAACACAACCATCTGAGGAATGGGGCAGTCCCAGAGATGTGGAAGTGGGGTACAGACTGACAATCCACAGAAGAGAGGGTGGTGGGGGAGAGATAAACCACAGAACTTAGATGCATGTGTGCATGAACGCCGAACATGGACAACAAAGCTGGGGACAGAGCGGGGAGAGAGGGAGAGGGGGAATCTGTGGTGGAAAAAGGAGAAACATCTGTAACAAAAATAAATTAATTAAGTATAAAAAGCTATATATTCTTATTAACAAATGTCACTCCAACTCATTTAATAAAGAATGACTAAAAATTATCTAAATTTGCATTTTCTATGGGAAAATAAAATTGATTTTTGATTTGTTTCTTAGTAATAAAGCGCTTTGACAATTGTTTTTTCTATTGACCAACTAATATCTTCTTGTAAAACAGTTTACTGGAACATTACAAAAATAAAACTGTTTTAAGAAACACCCAGATATGCTTCACCCAGATTCATCTACTGTTAATATTTTCTTCCATTTGATTTCTTTCTTGATAGACAAAAGTTTTCTGAACTATTTGAAGATAGGTTGCATTAGTCATAACCCTTTAATTGTAAATGTTTCTTCAAGTATCTCCTAAGAATAGTGATATCCTCTTATATAATCACAAATGCATACCTTTTAATTGAATTTGAAGAATAGGAGACAACTTACCATCAGTATTTTCATCATTTCCAAAATGTTGTCTGTAGAAGAGCATAAATTCAATGTTATAGCATTTGTAAATGACCACGAGCAGTACAAGGAGGAGGAGGATTGCTCCCATGCCTCCTGCAAGCTCAATTTTGTAGATTAAATCTGGAAGAAACATAATAAACGGAAAAAGGTAATGAAATCAGTAATGCTTGAGATAATCTCATAATTCTAGTCTGTAAAATGTACAACCCATTCTGTTTTTCTTTTCAGAAGATTCTTGCTTAATGCAGTAAGTAGCTTTGTTCTTAGTATATTTGTAAAAACCAAATATTTGTAAAATTTACTCTCTTTTAGAGACTCTTGAAAGTGATAAGTCTATATGCAAAGGAATAGTCACTCCCAATTTGCTTTGAATATGTGTGGATCTTACATATATACTTTTAATTTAGGTATGTTTCAAGAACCTATTAGACCTGCTTTTTTTCTGGATCCAGAGCCTAAATTTAGTTGTTTCTGTGAAATTATCTTACTACTTTAGAAAGATTAAAGTCTAGTGCTTTTCAGGCCATAGAGCTTATTCTCTTACAGAACTACATCATAAAATTATTCTCAGAATCAAATAAAATCTACTGAGCTTGCAGAATTTACTGTTTAATATAACCTTAGGAGAACATAATCCAATAGAAGTTAAGCAGGGGAAATTAGCGTATTCATTTTCCCTACTTATTTAAATGAATTATTATAATATGTATGTGATATAATATGTCCAGAGAGGCTAAAACAGAATGAAAATGAAATATTCAGTCTAATCACTTGGCCTATTCAGCCAACACCAAGCTACCTGATAGCAGCCTCAGGCTGCTCCAGTGGAGCTCCCTTGGAGTTGGAATAATTAAATCAACACATAATGGAAGGACACATGATGTATCCCAGGCTCAGGGAATAGTGACTTATCTATAGCTTAATTAGTGATATTAATAAATCTAAGGTATATCATTAAAAGAGGGTATAGTATCATGGAATTAAGGAAAATAGGAAGTCAGAGGAGAATTAAGAATGTAAATTCAGCAATGTCCAGAAGAGAAATGCTGAATCCAAAAGACACCAGACTACAGACATATTTTCCATGTTCATGGGTCTCAATATAATATAGATAAAATTGACTAAAAGATTAGCTGACCTCTCCTTAATCTAATTGCATAATTGCCAAGTGACTCTTTTATCACTAATTCAGCTTACCATATAACTAGAAACTGGAAAAGGGAGTGGCATTCTAATTTCATTATCAGTTCCTTATGAGGTTAGTTGTCATGAACCAGCCTCCCCAGATGGATCAATTCTTGGGAACTGTCAAAATCAAATTTATGACCATGGCTGACTGCTATTCTTTTAATTTTTTTATTTTTTTGTCCTCACCCGAGGACATTTTTCTATTTTTTGTTCAGATAGAGTGGGAGGGGGAGAGAGAGAGAGAAACATCGATGTGAAAGGGACACATCGAGTGGCTGCCACCCACACGACCCAACCAGGGCCGGGGACAAACTGCAACCGAGGTATGTACCCTTAGCGGGAACTGAACCCGGGTCTCTCTAGACTGCAGGCCAACACTCTAACCACTGAGCCAAACCGGCTAGGGCTGACTGCTATTCTTTAAGGTCTCTTGACAACTATATCATCAACCTTCCCCTGGGAATGTCACTTGTTTCTATATAGGCTTAATACTTAAGATAAATTAATCATGCTCAATATAACAATTAAGATTAAGAAGAAAAAAGATAAATATATAGTATACACTACAAGTAATATATATTATAGATTAAAAATTTTTTTACAAGCAATCCTGGAGGGCAAGAATTGTTGGTCTAAATTTATAGGTGAAGAATAGAATACTCAGTAGTTTAACTCACTTACCCAAAGTCACATCCTTAAGAATCGGCCAATATAGGACTTTAGCCCAGATATCCTAACTTTAAATTCAAGATTCATTTTATTATACCACAGCTTTATAAACTTCATCTTGTAAAGTGACAACAGTAATTGTTCTTCCTGTTTCTTCATGTTGTTAATGTTTCTCAAGAACACATGACTTAGAGTAAACTTTGGCTCATCTGCCCTTTCAATTTTAAAGAAAGAAGCTAAACGTCAATTCACTAGGTAGAATCATAGGACTGAGTAGATTTCAGGCACTTCACTAGAGGGTACTGAATAATCCTACATCTGTACCACAGAAGAAGAAAGGGCTTCCTACTATTCAGAATGTGAAGGAAAGTTTTAGGTTTTATGGGGATATAGAGAACTTGGTCTTAGAAAAGAGGTGGAGTGAGAGAAGAGACGTTGGTGGGCAGAGATAGCATGGGTAGTCAAGAGAGTCACTGAGTGAAAATGTAAGAAACATAAATAAATGTCACTCTTTGTGTAAGGAGAGGGGTGAAGGGTAAAAACAGGAAGAAAGTGAAGCTGCTGTGAAAAACAAAATATGTTAATAAGAAACATTATAAAAGCACACATAATGAGTAGGGATAGAAAACTGGAATCTATCTCTCTCTTGCCTGCTATGAAATGTGGCTATTTTAAAAATTAAGCCACAAAACTTTAGGTAAAAAAAAAAAAAAAAAAAAAAAAAAAATCCACACATTAGCTTTGCCTCCAGTCCTCTCCATATAAAGCGGTTCCCAGGAACCACTGCCTGTCTCTATGTGGGTGGTATCACAAGCTTGCTTATAAAACCTCTGTGGGCTGCAATATCACCATCTTTGCTTGTTTTCTCACCATATTACATCAGTTAATCATTCTTAACAACCAGTGTTAAATCGACAAAGCAATAGAATTCTATTTTTGTTGTTACCCTAAGAATTGACTTTTCTTTGATCTTAGGGCATTGATTGACTTGATTCAGTGTTTTCCTGCTATAAAATGTTCATTTTATATTTTAAAATCTTTGGACTTTCTCTTTGCCCTTGTTTTTGTGTCTCTCTAGTCAGAACAGCATTCAACTGTTTTCAAAGTCACTGAATAGGATTTTTTTTTAAGCAATTTCTACATTATTTATGGAGTAAAGTTGCTATCGGGTAAATGAGAAACTTTGGCAGTGGGAACAATTTGTGCTCCCAAGTAGCAAATACATTTTCAGCAGTAAATTTATAAAATAAAACCATGGTGTGAAAATTACCTTTGTGGTTTTGGGGTCCATTCTACAACAAGGTCTTTGGAAGATATTACCTAATGATTGCTATTTATTTTGAAAACTATGGACCTAGTTCCTAAGACTCAACCAGTATTCTTTGATTTACCCACAGGCAGTCATATTAAAAGGGAAACATGTATCCTATATTCGCAGGGCATAATTGCAATCACCAAGAGGACATCTGGCTTTTTTTTTTTTTTTTTTTTTTTGTCTTTTGTTTTCAACTGCCATTTTCCATCTCAGGAGGGTCTATACTTCTAGGGATATTTCCCGAATAAGAAAGTGAAAGCCATTTTATTTGCACTATGCCTTTTATACACTTCACAAGAACAGCTTTAGCCAAAAAAAAAACCAAAAAACAGATATTTATAGCATTGTAAGTTTTTCTAGGCACCCAAAGTATAAGCGTAGTTCTTTTTAAACTTCTTAGTTTGAATATAACTATTTTTTTTCACTGTGAACACAAAGATCAAACATTATAGACTGAGACAAATAGCAGCTAAAGCTAAGGGACAGGAGAAAGGGAAGTTTAGAAATGTTTTTAACTTGCTCATAAGTTGGGAATCAGGTTAGGAGATTCTACCTGGAGGTTTCTTAGAGCGGTTGGAGTTTCAAGCTGGAGCAGTAGCACTGGGAATGAAAAGAGAGAGGGGCTAAAGAAAGGGAGGAGACAGAAACACAGAGAGAGAGAGAGAGAGATCCAGTGTTCAGTGATATGCTTAACTTTGTTGGAAAGAGAGTGTGCACAGACAAGGAATAATTATAAGAATTTCTTTAACATAAATTCAGAGTCTTGGTTCACTAAATAAATAAATAAATAAATAAATAAATAAATAAATAAATTAGAAGAAACATCTTACTGAAATTTTAGTTGTACTTATTGTCAAATAGTTCATCAGAGAATGAGGAAGTGGTAGTACAGATAGAAGATGCATAGGTAAGATATCTTCCTTGGAGAAAGCCTGACCCTCTTAATTGGATATATTAGACATGCGTTTTCATTTTACAAAAAAGCTTTTCAGTTTATTAAAGGATTTATCAAATGCTTCTTCCTCATAATAATAATTTGGGGCATTTTTAATATTAGACTTATAGCTCATCAGGAATTTATTGCTCTGTAAAACAAATCATACTCGTATTCTAGGTGGAAACACTGCAATCACTGAAGCTAGGCTATGATGTGATAAACCCTGAAATGTTCATCTCCAAAGGAACTACCTGAAGTTTTACAAGTCCAGCCAGATCTTTGTCTGATTAAAAATGTTGGAGCATAGGCATAATGATTTTTTTCTGGAGCTCCACCATATTTTAGAGAGCCTCTGAGGAAAATGAAGTAAGAGAAGATGAATTTCATTTTTGTATAAAGCACAGTGAAAAAAATCTTTAACTGCTACCTAAAACAGAGAGTGAAAACTGGTACATTGTGAGCAAAAAAAGGTATAGAATAATATTTAAAAATCAAATGATTTTATATCCAGTCATTAACCAGAATGGGTTCTGAGTGTCTATTAGTTGTCAGACACTGCCCAAGTTGCTGAGGATACAAAAGTATAGCAGACCTTGACTTAGAGGAATTCTCAGGTTAAAATAAAACTGAGTGGACAGAAATAAAATTATTCAGGAATAAAATTATTCTTGCTGCAAGATATCTGGATATGATCAATGTGTGTCCTTCATGTAGGTGGACTAAGTGGTTGCCTAGTTCATAGGATTACTTATCCAAATTTTGTATAATAATGAACCCTGTTTGAACATGGTATATTTTACACCATATCATTATCATTTTAATCTCAAAGTAACTCTACAAGTTAGATATTATTACTCCTATTTTACAGATGTGTAAACAAAGGTTCAGGATGACTAATCAGATAAGTTAGTCCTACTGAACCAGTTAGCTGAATCAATGGCTAAACTAGGATCTTGTCAACTAGGGTCTCCTAACTTTACTTTTGATATTAGACTCCTTTATACTTAAATGCGCCATTATTTTAAGATGAAATCAATTCCAACAGAGTAAGAAATGTTACTGGAGAGATAAAAGCATTATTTCAGAATAATATTTTCTAGTTCTCCTAGAGCTGCAGGTCAAAGCCAAATATTGGAGCTGGCTGTAAAAGAAAAATTCCACCTTGGCAAAGAGGTACAAATAGTGACCTTGCTGATTGACTCTGTTTTATTGCTTTATAGCCTAGACAACAAGAACACTGATTGAGAACATTTGTTCTGTTACATTGACAAAACCTTTGCCAGAGGCATACATACAGAATCAATTTAGCCTTTTGCAGTAATTAAGCATGTGGCAGGATAAGAGCAATCTCAGAAGCTGCTCCAGCTGCTGGGATTGATGTTCCTATGTCTGCTTTTATCTCCTTTATCTGTAAATTTAAAGTTTATTCTCTTTGTATATTAATACAATTTCCACCCCATCTGGAATCAACTCTAGAAGGGATCTCCATAAATGCCAAATTGTTTAAAAATAGGTGCACCTGTTAAAGGCATCTAAAGATCGGGTCATATCATCATATCATTAAATATTGTTTATAATCTTTCTATAACAATTATAAAAATATTATTTGACACTATTTATTATTTTTATTTATATTTTAGTCAGAGAATAAAAAGTGTCTTTGTTTCCCATCCAGTAATGAAAATCCTAGTATTTCACAAGATGGTAAAATATAGAGTTAATTTTGAATTATAATACCTATTACATTTTAAGTAACACTTATAAACAGGGTACATTTTATCTTACTGGATTTAACCCATAATAATATTTAATTTCATTTATTCACTTCCTATTTGTATAGAAGATCATAGTCATTTTGTGCTCATGTCCACAGCAAGAGAGAGATATAATATTTAATAGCAGTTTATGCTAAATGATAACATAAGATCAGGAAATAAATTTACTTCAATAGACACTTAGTAGGTTAAAAAAACATAATAACAATTATAAAGCAAAATACCCTTTTTACGCAGCAGAACACTGGCATGTTTCCGTCCATTTCGGTTTTCCACATGGCAGGTATAATTTGCCAGGTCAGCTTCCACCACTGAATCAAAGATGAGTGCCAACTCAACCTCTTTTTCTCCAAGATGCTCTTTGAGTAGCCTGAAATAAAGACAATATTACTGGATAATTTAGTCTGATTTGGAGAGAGAGAGAGCATTCATAAGAAGTAATATTAACATAAGATATTAACATGCCACTAGGCTTTGATAAATGAAGTCAACATAATTTGTGTGGCAAAAAAAGAGAGGAAATATTGGGCTCCATATTCTACAATGAAAGTGTACAAACAAACTGGCTCTGGCCATTGTGGCCCAGTTGGCTGAGTGTCACCCCATGCAGCAGGGAGTTGTTGGTTTGATTCCCTATCATGTCAAGGCAAGTGCCCGGGTTTCCAGGTAGATTCTTGAGGGAAGGCAGCTGATTGATATTACTCTCTCACATGGATGTTTTTCTCACCCTCTCTCTTGCTATCTTTCTCTAAAAATCAATACAAAAAATTTTAAAGTACAAAAATTGGATTTTTGCATTATGGCATGAAAGAAAAAAAATCTGCAGGAGGAAAGGGTTTGTGTTAGACATTAGAGTTTTGAAAACAGGGACTGAGAGGGGAAATAAGGGGGCTTTGAAACTAGTTGCCTCATAATAAGTAAAATGAGGGTGTTAGCAGCTTTCTGTCTCCAAATCTCATGAGAAGTCTGTTTTCTATTTTTCTCCTGCCTTTTTGTTCAATGCAGGCACATGCCCTATGCCCTATCTCCACAGTGGTGCCGCAACCAGGGCCCGGTTTTTTGCAGCTGCTGATCTCACTTTGCCTTTTTATTTCCCTCCCTCACAGGATAAACCTGTCTCATGTTTATTTTCTCATAGTTCTGCTTTTTGCTTTCTCAAGTAAAGTTGCAAAATTCTTGAATGACCAAGAACAGGTGTTCTCAGAAGAGCTGAGTTGCCAGGAACCTTTCCTAAGGAGTGTGTCTCCTGTTTCTTTAGAAAATTATTCTCTACACAACAACCAGCTGCTTACTGAGTGAAGTTAAAGTGGGTACCCTGCTGCCTTTTCTTTTCTGTCTCATGCTCCTTTTGACTAAAGAAATAAAAAACGGGAGTTTAGTTAATGGTGGCAATCCCGCCGTTAACTTCTGAGGTGAAGTGCTCAGATACATGCATTTGTAAAATGTAAAATTAGGGCATAGATGTAATTCTCACCTCTTTTTTGAAAACCTGCTAATGAATGCAGACAAGAACTCTCTGATTTATTGGCATTTAGCACAAAGTTGGAAAAGATAACTGTGCTCAGAGAAAACTGGGTTCTAAGTACAGATCTCCCACTTACAAGCTTAAGCTGAATTCTTACAAAGTCATTAATTTAGTGGCACTTTAATTTTACTAATCATTAAGCTGGGAAAAATACTAACCATACTCACCTTAACTTTGTTTTGAAGGTAAAATGTGTTAACATGATTTAAAAGTAAATAGAAGCCCTTGGCCGTTGTTCCTCAGCGGTTAGAGCATCAGCTCATGGAGCAAAGAGTCGCAGGTTTGATTCTGGTCAAGGGCACTTACCTCGGTTGTGGTTCGGTCCCTGGCCTTGGTCAGAGTTGTGCAGGAGGCAATCAATCAATGGATCTCTCTCACATTTATGTTTCTCTCTCTCTCCCCTCTCCCACTCTGTCTGAAGATAAATAGAAAAATATCCTTGGGTGAGGATTATTAAAAAAAAAAAAAAAGTAGCACTATGCAAATGCAAAGGAATATTATTTTTAAAATTTTTATTTTTTGATTTTATAGAGTTACAGAGAGAGAGAGAGACAGAGAGAGAGAGAGATTTGTTGTTCCATCTATGTATTCATTCATTGGTTGATTTTTGTATGTGCCCTGACTGGGGATCAAACCTGCAAAATTGGCCTAGCAGGTGATATTCTAACCAACTGAGCTACCCAGCCAGGTTTTGCAAAGGAATATTATTAGACATCAACATTTCATTATTCAAAGGTAGATTGTTTGCATTTTGGCTCCCCCAGAAATATTTTAATTTTAATTTATTGATACTTATAATTGGCTTGAGTTAAGCTCTTTTGACTTGCTTTCAAGAGAAGAAAGGTCTTAAACTTAAATTAGGAGAAGACTGTTTCTAGAATTTTAGCGCCTCCAACATAAAATCTGAAATGCAGATTATATTCAAAATAGACATGCTTTTAAATTTAACCCTGTTTCTGTTCTCTTCCAATAATATACATATCTAAGGGTTGATAATATTGGCATTTGTAACTTAAGTAAATCTTCTCCTGTCCTTTACATTTATGTTCTATCACTGAATCAGACAATATGAGAATTTTCTTAACCGCATTTTATTGGTAATCTATCTATTATTTTTTCTCTTCCTGGTTAAATTAGTTTTTCTTTCTTGTTCTTTTCCCAATATATACTTAACCAAGAATAAAATGGGAATTTAATGTCTTCACAGTTTATGTTGAATTTTACTCTCTACAATTTCTGCCTGCTATGGATAAAATCTCACTACACTCAAGTCTTTTAGTTTTGTGTAACCTGTTGGGGAAGATTCCCCTTTAGTGCAGAAGCTACTTAAGCACCCTGTATTAAGTTTGATTTAAAACTTTACTTACAAGTCAGCCACAGCCTTTGCCAGGCATAAGACAGAAAACTGATCCTGTCCCTCCAGACCAGTCCCTTGCCTCTTCGTGTCTAATACAGTGTCCAAAAACAGCGCTTTACAGGCTGCAGAAAAAATCTGGAGAGAGGATTTGAAAATGATCCTTTGTCTGTCTATTAATATAAATGAGCTGTCTTAATTATCAGCTCTTGAAAATATAGGGGTGACTTGCTTTTGGAGAATTAAAGAGCAAGTTAGTGTTTATGTCTACAAATCACTCTACGAGGCAGCCACCATTCCATAGCAAATATTGATCTATAACAACCTATCAATGATTCTTTGTCAATCCCCTAATAAGTGCCTAGCTCTGGACTAGATATTTGATGTAAGAGAAATATAATCATTAAAAGACCAGTTCCTTGTTTTCAATACATATTAAAATATAACAATAAATCAGGATCTACATAGTTAAAAATTTGGGACAAAATAAGGAAAAGCAGGGTGGTAAAGTCATGCTTTCAATGGGATTTCAAAGAAAGCAAAGACTATTATTGATTAAATTAGCTGTGAAAGGCATGAGAAAATATTGTCTAGACAAATGGAAGAAGGGAGAGTTTTCTGAGGTAATACAGAAGCAGGTCATTGCAGAATGTGTGAAAAAACACACTAATGAAACCGGTTATGGAACGAAGGATACAAATTAGGGGATTTGGGATACACTTCAAATAACTTTAGAAATATATCATTCCAAGGATTAACATTAAAGGCATGTTATATGAAAAAGGGAACACAGATTTTTAAAAAAGGAAGGAATTCAAGTAACAGAAATCACTACCACCAAAAGATTTATTTAGGTAAGACCTATTATTAAAGTAACATTGAAAAAGTTTGGAAGTTGTCAGTCCCATATTTTCAACAAGTAAAAAGGCAAACAAAATGAAAATAAACAAATCTTCTTAGATCCATCAGATAGTTGAAGTCACAGAGCAAATTACTGACTCCAAAGCTTGAGATAGAAAAAAATACTGAGAATCAGTGTATACTGGAGCAGAAACTCAGGAGCAGTAGCCATTAGCAGTAGAAACACTTAAACTATAATTGATGAGGCAGTGTAGACATAGTGGGACTAACTAAAGAGTTAAAATCTCCATGGGATTAAATTTTAAAGGTACCCCACACTTTTGTGAGTTTTGCTTCCAGGGTCTCAGGGTGAAGAGCACATAAATGTTTCGTTTTGCTTCTGGCAGGGGAAGGGGAAGAGCAACTATCTTGAAATAAGCCCAGAGGACTCTGTTCTTCTTAACAGAGGCCTGCCTTTAAGGAAACTATTTTACCAGAGCCGAAAAGACTTCAGTTTTACCAAACCTAGCCTACCTGAAGAGAGATACCCAATTTCAGCCTCCTCAATCTTTCTTATCTCATATAAAAAGTGGAAGAAAGCTGAGAAGCATTTGTGAAGGTCACAGCAGAGTCACAAGCTCATTAAAAGATTGAGACTTCATCATAGAATAATAGTATGCTTATAGCCACATCAATCTGGCTCTGTTATGATAACAAGGGATTTCAAGCATAAAGAATTACAAATCTCAGACTCTCCAAACTCTAGGAAATCCCAAAAATCAATGGAAACATAAACAAGTACATTCTAGACAAGTTTAGTCTCTTATACCAGCAACTATTACAAACAGTAAGCACAGCCTAACTCATAGCCACACAAATATAAAATCTCACACTAAAGGCCTATTTACCTCTTAGTTCCTTTTACCTGATACATTATATGTTGCTTTCAACCAAAAAATAGAAGGCCTGTTGAGAAGCAAACAAAGAAACGAACAAAAATCTCAAGAGACGAAGCAAGTATCAGAACCATATTCAGATATAGGAGAGATTTTGGAAGTATCAGACTAAGAATATACAATAACTATGATTAATATATTAAGAGCTCCAATGGAAAAAGTGAACAACATATATCAACATATGGGTGATATCACCAGAGAGATGGAAACTCTAAGAAAGAATCAGAAGAAATTGTGAGAAATCAAAACACAATAACAGGAGAACCGAAAAAATGGCGGCGGAGTGAACGGAGCTACACAGACTGTCTCCCAGAACCAAACTGGAATTACAACTATAACAGACAAATCAACAGGAAAAACCAACAGAAAAGCAGCTTGCGAGGACCATACAACGAGGGACACTGACTCCATCCCAGTAGGCTAGCGAAGGTGCGAGACGGGAGCCCAAGGTCGGCAGCTCGGCAGCAGCCTTAGCTGGGAGCAGCGCCCTCGGGTTACACTCCCAGGCGGCTCCACAGCGCAGAGCGGGACAGAGGCTAAAACAGCCACAGCCACTCACCTTGGGCTCCGGCAGAGGGAGGGCGGACTGGACTGGAACTGTGTCGGGACACTCGGGGTTTGGAGGGCGCTCAGAGCTTTGGCTGAGTTGCTGCCACCCAGGACGGTGGCCACATTGCTCCTTCCCAGGGCTCTGA